GTGTCGTTCAGGTGGAGCCCAGCACAAAACTCTTTCCTGCTGTGTTTGTGCGGCCCACAAGCTCAAGTCTCTTCCAGTTTGAACTGGCCAAAATCAAGGTGAGCACATCCTCATAGCTTCATACGGTCATATTAGTGTTCGTGAGCTGCTCTGCACTGTGTGAAGCTCTCCGATCCGCGTTTTTATGACTCCTCTCCTGCAGAACGCCATGCCCATCTCGTCGGCTATCTTTAAGAGCGAACACAAGAATCCCGTTCCTCAGTGTCCTCCACGACTGGACGTCCAGACCATTAACTCGGTGCTCTGGAGCCGAATGCCCAACACCTTCCTGAAGGTGGAGACGGCCCGTGTCAGCGAGAGGCACGGATGGATGGTCCAGTGTGTGGAAGCGCTGCAGATGCTGGCTGTACACATCCCCGAGGAGAACCGGTACACACATGCACACAGTCCCAACAAAATCAATAATCAAATAAAACTAATGTACAAATTATTTACATGTATTACATTTATAAATTATTTTTATTTATCATATTGACTACATATTATTAATGTGTTCTTAATAAAAATTAAATACATGTGGAAATATACGTTATTTATTTGTATTATGTTTATTTATTTAAATTAAATTAAATATATATTTTTAAATATTTGTGAATATAATTTAAAAAAATTACATTAAAAATAAATACATCTATAAATATAAATTATATTTTAAATATAATTCATTAAATGTCTTTTCAATTAAAAAATACATTTACAAGGATAACACATTTTATTTAATTTACAATTAAAATTAAATACATTTATAAATATAAATCTATAATTATTATTTTTTAAATATAATTAAAATTATTTTTAAATATTTATAAAGATAATACATTTTATTTAATGTGCATTAAATACATCTAGAAATCTAAATGATTTCTATGCATACTATTTATAAATATAATTATTTTAATGTGTTTTTAATTAAAACATAAATACATTTATAAGGGTAAGACATTTAAATTTAATTGAAATTCTATTTTGTAATTAAAATTAAATACATTATATGTATTTTTAGCATTAAAAACTTTTATAAATATAATTTTTTATACTTAATATATTCATGAATATAAATAATTTACATTAAATTAATTATTTTTAATGTTTGTAAATGTAATACATTTTATGTATTTTAATTCATTGTTTTAATGAAGATGAAAATATAAATATGTATTATATTTATAAATATAATTTTAATTGAAATAAAAGAAATTTAGATTAATTTTATAACTAAAATTAAATAATTTATTAATATAATAATTTCATTGATCTTTTTTTAATAATTATAAATATATTTTAAAGTATTTTTAGTCATGCATTTTTTATAAATAGACTTAGATTTATTATAATATTTATTGTAATTTATTGTTTTTTTTGATAATCATGCACCCAATTGAATTATTTATGCAATCAGGTGTATAATTAATGCAGCATCTGTAAGTTTTATCAGTGTGTTGAGGTGATGATTAGTGAACGCTCGTGCCACAGGTGTGTGGACATCATGGAGCTGTCGGAGCAGGAGGAGCTGCGTAAGTTCCACTATCACACGCTGAAGCTGTACTGCGCTCTGTGTGCTCACGGGAACACGCGTGTGGCTCACGCGCTCTGCAGCCACCTCGACCAATCGCAGCTGCTCTACGCCATCGACAACCAGTACCTGTCGGGGATGCTGCGCGAGGGCTTTTACGACGTCCTCATCAGCGTGCACCTGGAGACGGCCAGAGCTGCCCGCCGCATGATGAACAACGAGTTCATCATCCCCGTCACGGCCGAGACGCGCAGCATCCGCCTCTTCCCCGACGCCTCCAAACAGCACCAGCCTCCAGGCGTCGGGCTCAGCACGTGCCTCAAACCCAGACTCAGCTTCGGCCCGCCGTGCTTCATCAGCAGCAAGCGCGAGCAGCACCTGTACAGCCCAGAGATCCCGCTGGAGGTGCTGAAGGAGAGGGCCATCCGCATGCTGACGGAGGCTGTGCAGGGCGGAGGAGACCACATCCGCGACCCCGTGGGCGGAAGCGTGGAGTTCCAGTTCGTGCCGATCCTGCGGCTCATCGGTGCACTGCTCACCATGGGAGTCCTGACCAGCCGCGACGTGCACAAGATCCTGCTGCTCATCGAGCCCGGCGTGTTCGGCGAGCACAGGGACGACGGCGCCAAAGAGGGGCTGACGGGAGCCGAGGAGAAGGCGGTGGAGGCCGGAGAGGAGGAGGAGGCCAGAGACGGGAAAGAGCTGGTGAAGAGTCTGCTGGAGAAGAAACTCCCCGAGTCTGTCAAACGACAGGTGAGACAATTGACGGACAAAAATCGGTAAGCCCCGCCCCTCGAACGCAGATGAGCCAATGGCAGTCGAGTATCAGTTGCA